TTTTTTTTTTTTTTTTTTTTTTTTTTGCAGTAAGTATTTCAATCAAGAAGCTATACCAGCTGGGCATGCCAGCGCACACCGGTAATCACAGCTGCTCAGGGGATGAGGTAGAAGATCTTAAATTCAAAGAAATCATGGGCAACCCTGTCTCAAGATAAAATAAAAGGGTTGGAACATAACTCAGAGACAGAGCACTTGCCTAGACTGCACAAGGCCCTAGGTTCAATCCCTAGTTCTACCACCATAAAAAAGCAACGTAAACATAAATATAAGCTGTAAATAAAGCACAATTATACATAATGAAAAATCCCTTAAACTCTCATCACTTGTGAACTGCTTTCAGAGCAAAATCTATTGAGTCTCCAAATAACATTCCAGTCTCTTCACCATAAAAAGTAACTCAGCAATCATCCTGTTTACATATTGCTAATACATTACACAGTTCTCTCGTTCTCTTGCTCTCTGGTTCTCTCTCTGAATGCTGGCAGACTTTAGTTACAACCCATAGTTTTCTCTCCAGTTCTGTATGTGTGTGTACATATAAGACGTTTGTACGTGTGAGATACTGTTTCATATTTAAAGTCAAAGATACCAAACAAATCTACAAACTTCTCCAGGCAATGCAAGTCTGCTGCAGAACTTGATTGGGTGCTGATAAAATCAGCTTAGTTCACGTAAACTGCTATGGTCTGCAAAATAAAGAGAAGGGCAGCAGTAATCCTATTGCAGCAAGCATTAGGATGTTAGTGAGGCCTCTACTTAGGCCAGAGGCTCAGAACTCTTGGCTAGCTCCTACATCTGTTGAAAAGTCGCCTGCAGACGTTGTGGCACCGCGGCACGTCTGCCATCAAATTCTTAAAACGCGCCCTTTCGCATGATGCTCGCAGGATCGATACGCTTTGTGCTCGAGGCTTGCTTGTTTTGATGCAAACATTCTTCCTTAAAAGCCACCCCCATTCCCCAAACCACTGCAAGCCTCAGAGGACGGGTATGCGTCTTACATATAAAGCAGGGAAAGGACGACGGTCTCCAAATTTCCTGCACCCGCGATTCTTACCTGACGCGGAGTCGACCTGACTCCACCTCGCCTTCCCGCGGACTCTGTCCACCGACTTCCTGGGAAACGCTGACGGAGAACGGGCGTAGCAGACAAGGGTAACCGAGTGCAGAGAAGCGCACCCCTCAACCTCCCACCCTTTCCCCTCTGGGAGCCGCGCCGCCCCGCAGAGCAGGCGCGAGTCCTCAGAGCCCCTGGTACTGCGGTCACCCGCAGAAACGGACAGGGGAGACCCGGCAAGTACCGCCGTTCACACAAAGAAAGAAAAGGAGGACTCAGGGAAGAGGTGCCGCACCAAGCGCTAGCTGCTGAACAGACGCCTACAGCCACCAAAACCCAAGCAGGCTACACCAGGTTGTCAAGGCGACCGACCGCGGAAGCCACTACGCAAGTCAGGCGCGGGGACGTCCGGGAGTTGTAGTCCACCACAGCGGAGGCAGGAAAGCGGAGACCATTTCAGAGTGGGCTGGCGCTGGAATCTGATTGCTGCTGGGCTGGGGGGTCGTTGGAACCGCTGCCTACTCAACTTCCGCAGAGATAAGTAAGCAGTACAACTCTTCTCGTTCCTAGCAGCACTTCCTCAGCCTCAACTCTGCAGAAGCCCCAGTCAACTCCCAGGGCCACACGCTAACCACGCTCTCTAGTCCGGTCCTCGCTGACAGGGCGTGGGGCGGGGACTACACGGGCTGGTCCACTGACCCCCTAGTCTTGGTTTCCACGGCGCCGCGGGGCGAAGGTGTCCCTGTGCAAAGCAGGGGTTTGTCTGAGCCCTGAGATCGCGATGTGACGGAGCTCTGAGCAGATCTGGTCTACAACTTATTTTCGCCTGTGAACCGGTATTGTGTGATTCCTGACAAACGTTATTCTTTTAACTGTAGTCTATTCAGTATTCTTTTTAGTAATTTTAGGATTTCCTGTATATAAGGTGAGTAAATATTTAGTTTCACCAAATAATGCCAACTTTTTTTCTTTCAAATTCAGTGCAAGTATACCTTGTCACCAATGTTGAAATTTTTCTTTTATGCTTCTTTCTCAATGGATTCCAGTTTGGGCTTTAATTGTACTGCTTTTTTCTACCATTCCACATTCCCAGTAGAAAATATAATTCTAAGTTACTCCATTTTTTTGTTTTTTGGTGCACTAGGGATGGGACCCAGGCCTCACACACAGGCAAGTTCCCTACCACTGAGTTACTTCCCCTAACCCCTTATTGCTGTAATTTTTAAAGATTAAAAAAAATTAATGATAAGAAAATCATTAAATTTTACTATTTCAATATTAAACCACACAACTTTGGTTATAATGAATAAAAATTACTTAAATGGCTAATGATAAGAACTTCAGTAAATTATGATAGGATACTATTTTACCACAAAATTCAAGTTATTGAAATATTTTTACTTAAAATATTTGGAGCTGGGGATGTTGCTCAGTGGTAGAGCACTTGTCTCACATGTGGAGGGCTTGAGTTTGATGTCCAACACTGCAAAAACAAAACAAATACCAAAAAATGTTCATAGTGCAAAGATTGATAAAAAAAAATACAATGAATGTTTAAATCAAAAATTCATTACAGCAGAAAGTACATTGTCATTAATCCCCCTCAGAATATTGCTTCTCAATTTGAATATACTTATGCTTTCTTGCCACTTTCTGAAGAAGTTCTAGAAGTCCTCTCTTATGAGCATCTTTCCAGGTTGATCAAAATTATAGGGAATACTGCTGCCAAGTGCCATCCAGCTGAAAAGAAGGCTTCCAAAAACATGAATTACTGATTGTAGGGTACTGATACATTACTGATTGTAGATATTGAGTGTAGGCTTGGACATGTAGAACTTGAGGTATTTGCAATATGCAAGTTGACACTCAGGATGTATTAGAAAGTGGATTCTCTTCCTTGGGAAAGAGTTCATGGCTGGAGTTATGACTTGGGGATCTCTCATAGATGATAAATGAGCTACCTGAGTGGACAGGGTCAGAGTGTACAGGCTGCAAGAAATGAGATGTGAAATTCAGAACATAGAATTCATTGGAAGGAAGTGTGTGGGGGGGTGTCAAAGCAAGAAGGCTGAAAAGGTCATGTAGTGTGAGACAGGAATACAATCATATTTTATGATATAAGGAATTAGTGGAAAGTTAGGAAGCTCAGACAGTGAGAAAAAAAGAACTCTTCCCAGGACTAGCACTGTAGTAAAGGTACAAGTGTTAAGAGTATTGGAGAAGTGGTGGAAGAAACATCTCAGTCCATTTGAACTTACATAACAACATGCTATGGAGAGAATAATTTGTAAACTGCAAAATTGTATTCCTGACAGTTTTGGAAGCTGGGAAGTCCATGATCAGAGCACCTGCACACTCAGTGTCTATGGCAGCCCTTTCCTTATAGAGCCTTCTGCCTCATGTGTCCTCACAGGGTGGAGAAGCAGACTAGCTCCCTCGTGCTGCTTTGGTAAGAGCCCAGTCCCATTTCTGACAGCAGACCTCTAGGGCCTGATGATGTACTGTAAGATCTAAATTACAAGCCCATGCTAAATATCAAAGGGCCCAGGAGACAGTGCTCTAACCCACTCCCATTGTAGCCATAGCCCCAACCTTTGTTCAAACCCTGGCTATGTGAGGCACATTTATACTGTTTAAAGTCCGGATCCTGATTCACATGTAAGTTAGTGGTTCTACACTATGAAATACATAGAGACCCCAAGTTAATTGTTGAACTGTTTGCTCATCCTGAATGTCTTGGTGGCCTTTGAACCATCCTATAAGTATCTGTTAATCATCAATGTGTGACTGCCAAGTACGTGACTGCTGACCACCAACTCAACTCAGCAGAACTTTGTCCCCTGCCTGCAAGCTTAACATGTTAACCCCTCTTTTTACCCGCCTATAAAGAGGACCTCAGATCCTGAGCTGGGGCCTCTCTGAGCTACTTAGTTCTGAGAGTGCCGTCTGGCCAGACTAATAGAGGTCTGTTTACCATCTAGCCTGGTGTGTTCCTTCCTGGGTTTCTCGTTCTTCGATCGTGCCCCTGGAGCCTCGTTGGGCTATAGGACCCAGAATCGTGGAGGCCTATTTAGCTATTCACGCTCCATGGAGTGTGAGACACTGAGTCTTATACCACAAGTGACTAATAAGTAATAATAAACTATTTCCATGCTCAAGATTATAAAACTGCTATTTGAAATTGAATATAGGCATTGATTAAAGATATATATTTAAAAATTGTGTTTAGTTGAGATTCAAGTGCAGTATTTCTAATTAAACATTTTTTTCAAAAGATTGCTTTTTAATCAAATTATGTAAGTAATGCTATATATATTAAAATGTGGTATACACATGAAATATTTGCAACATTGGAAACCTTGATGAACTACTCAAAATCCAAATGAATACTGCTTTAACAATATCTGTTCACAAGCAATCCTCAAAAGCATCTAGTCTATTTATGTTCTGAAATACAGTATTAGAAAGCACCTTCTCATACTGTTGGTGGGAATGTCATTGTAGTATAATATCTATGGAAATTTGTTCCTTAAAAAATTAAAAATAGAAATTCCATTTGATCCAGCTATACTTTACTGGGTATATTCCCCCAAAATTAAATTAATAATACACTGATACATGCATAACCATGTGTGTAGCAGTAATGCTTATGAAAGTGCAGCTCTGGAAACGGCCTAAATATTCACTCACAGATGAATAGAAAGGAAAAATGGGATGGCCTGAGCAGAGTGGAGCATACTAGGAAGCTGAGGGACATTCATGTTCAGCCTGAGAAGTTTAATGATTGATGAGACTCACTCAGTCTCATAATAAAGGATAAATAACTCTGAGAATGTAGCTCAATGCTAAAACCCTGGGTTTAGTCTCTAGCATTGAAAATAATATGGAGTGTATATATAATGGAATGATATTTGGTCATAAAGGAGAATACAATGATGTCATTTTCCCCAAAATGGATGCATCTGGAACCCATATTATATTAAATAGGATAGACAAAGAAAGTACAATATTACATGATGTATTTTGTATGGGAAATGCAAGATACGGATTAAGTAAAATAAAGGAGAGATGGTAGAAAAAAAGACAGGTATTTTGGAGAGGGTGAATGTAAGACTCAAAGTCTCACTTCCACTGCATGGAACATGAACAGCCAAAAGGCCTCCATGATGCTGAGTCCTATAGCCCAACAATGACTCCAGAGGCAAGACCCAGGGCCTTACTTCCGAAAGCCATGAACAGCCAAAAGGACCTCCACGAGCTGGGACCTATAGCTCAGTGAGGCTCCAGGATCTCAATGGAGGAACAAGAAACCCAAGAAGGAACACACCAGGCTAGATGGTAAACAGACCTTTATTAGTCTGGCCAGATGGCACTCCCAGAGCCAGATAGCTAGCTCAGAGAGGTGCCAGCTCAGGGGCTGAGGTCCTTTTTATAGGAGGGTAACAAGGGGGATTAACATTTTAGGCTTGTAGGCAGGGGACAAAAGTCTGCCGATGTGAGCTGGTGGTCAGCAGCTACGTACTCGGTAGTCACATATTGATGAGTAACAGATACCTATAGAACGTTTCAAAAGTCACCAAGACATTCCGGATGAGTAAACAGTTTGACAGTTAACTTGGGGTCTCTATGTCTAGAACCACTAACTTACACGTTAATCCGGATCCGGACTTCAACCAGTACAAGATTGCCTTACATTCCTAAGCCAGGGTTAGAACAAAGGTTGGGGCTATGGCCACAATGGGAGGGGGTCAGGGCACTTGTTAAGACTTAAAGTCTCACTTCCACTCCACAGAGTGTGAACAGCCGAAAGGGCCTTCACGATGCTGAGCCCTATAGCCCAACGATGGCTCTGGATGCAAGACCCAGGACCTTACCTCTGGGAGCCTTGAACAGCCCAAAGAGCCTCCAAGATGCTGGGACCTATAGCTCAGCAAGGCTCCAGGAGCTCGATGGAGGAACGAGAGTCACCCAGGAAGGAACACACCAGGCTTGTTGGTAAATAGACCTTTATTAGTCTGGCCAGACGGCACTCTCAGAACTGAGCAGCTCAGAGAGGTGCAGCACAGGGGTTAGCACAGTTTTTTAAAGGCAAGGGAAGAGGATTGCAAGCACAGGAGTTGGGCCAGGAGTCGGGGTCGGTTTTCTGCCATCTATCTAAAGGAGTCAGCTGTATGGTGCACCTGGCCTTTCGTCACCAGACCTCAGGCTGTTCTGTTCTAATGAGGCCTTGAGTCGCTATCTTGTTTGCCCGTGCCAGGCTTCCATACACTCTGTTTTAATCTTATCTTGGAGCTGGGCACAAAGAAATGTGTGCTGCTATATGCTGGCTAACTAGGGGTTACATAGCAGTTAGAGTCCCACACACTGTCTCCTAGGCCCTCTGTCATCTAGCATGGACTTGTAATTTGGGTCCTGCATGAAGAGGCTCAGCAGAAGGGACAGGGGTAGAGTCATGGAGGAAAAGGGTTTGAAAAATAATCAACATATAGTGTTGTGCCCAGATTGCGAAGTCCCCAAAGACCACCAAGGAGTCGAGTCCTATGTAAATGCATGAGGAGTTTATTGCAAGCTCAAGCCTGGACTCCCATACTTCACTGATTAAGAGGATCAGAAATGAGAGCCCCGACCCTCTTTTAAGGCCTAACTTTATAGGGTTGGGGAGGCTTGAAATCCTCTCTTTTTCATTGATGTTACCTTTTACTTTTTATTTCTATTTGGTGTTGCTGGGGCACTTGTGAAAGCAGGAAGAAAACTATTTCATGCTGGGGAGGGGGCTAGTTCAGAGAGAGGTCAGTGTGCTCAGGAATGTGGTGGGCTTCTCTTATCTGTACAGAACCTCCTGTCTCTCTTCTCTACAAGTTTTATGGTTCCCTTTTCCAGCCATCCGGCCTTGCCTTTATCTCAACTAAGCAAATTTCTGCTTGAGTTCACCTAGGAATTACATCTTACATGAGATGACTTTCTGTCTTAAAATGGAGTTACTCTGGTCTCTACAATAGTATACTTTTGTACCAATTGTTCACAATGAAAGTAACTGGTATGTATTGCAAAAAGCTGTTTCCAAGCACCATCCAGAACGTACAGTAAATTTATGATCAAACCTTCTTAGAGGACATCAAATCAGATATCCTTCTTGTAAGCCATTAATATAGAGACACTTAAATGTGACTGGTTGTTTTTTTTTTCTTTGACAGAGGTGCAGAGGTTGATAAATGCTGTCAAGATGAATTATGGTATGAACATGGAGAAATGTTTTTTATAACTTGATACAAATCTCCATGTGAAACTGCTTGGTAAAAAATCAGGTGAAAGCTTTGAATGTGGAAGCCCTCTGATAAACCCTTCTTCAGCAACCAGGCTCCACATACTTAACACTGGGCTTAAATCATATGAGCTCCACAGATTTGACCAAAAGCTTGCTGAGTATAACAGACTGATAGGGAAAACTTTAATAGCGAAAATTTAGGAAATATCACAATGTAAACTAACTTCTGCCCCTCACTCTGCTTAGTTCAGAATTAACCAGTACCAGAGACACCTAGTCTCCCACAAAAGTTTGTAAGTGAAAAGAACCATTATTGGCTTTGTTAATCAAACAAGCTCCCTTCCCCCTGGCTGGAGTAGGCAACTGAATGAATCTAAAAGGTAACTTCCCTAACAAAGAATTGCATCCTGGTTGAAATTCAGCTGCCTTGCTATCATGTTTTGGGTATCTGTGGAAATGCAATGTAACCAACTGAGTAAGATCAAAGCTGCAAAACCCTATAAAAGTAAGAGTTGTAGCCCAATGGGTCATTGATCAGGGCACCGCCATTAGGTGTGATAGATCCCCATCGATGGAGTAAACTTTTTTATTTTACTTCCATTCTGCTGCCTCTCTGTGTCTCCTTCCATAACAAGACATGGGAAAACCTCCACTGACTTTCAGTCCTTTCAGAAACGTGAAAAGGCAAATCGTGAAGAAAAACCCTATGGATATAAGCAATGTGGAAACTCCTACTCTGATTACACTAAAGGAAGTAATGCTAGAGAGAAATCCTTTCTTTATAAGCAGGATATAAGAGCCTTCAGTACATCTAACCATGTTCAAATCCAGAAAAGAGACCACAGTAGGGTGAATACCCATATATGTATAAAGTGTGGAAAAGACTTGAATTCTCAACATGGTATTCAGAAACACGAAAGAGCTCACAGGAGGATAGAATCCTGCGTATATAAACAGTGTTGGAAATCCTTAATTAATATTTCATTTACAAATCATGAAAGAACTCACATTGGGGGAAACCCCTACATATATTAGCAGTGTGAGAAAGCTTTCAGCACACAGCATGGTTGTCAAAGGCATGGACAGACTCACATTGTGGAGAAATCCTTTGTATGTAAGCGATGTGAAAAAGCTATCAGCAAACAGAAATATTATCGAAGACATGAACAAACTCACACTGGGGAGAAACCCTGTATACGTGAGCAATGTGGGTATTATACCCAAGTCGCGAAATCCCCAAGAAGACCAACAAGGAGCCTCTTCTGATGCAAACACATGAAGAGTTTATTGCAGGCTCAAGCCTGGACCTCCAGTGGCACCCTCACAGCGGCTTCCAACTGAAGGCACCGACTCACTTTCAAACAAGATTATATAGGAGTGGGGAGGCTTTCTCTTTTTATTGGTGCTGTTTTTAACTTTTCATTACTAAGGGTTATTATCGGGACACTTAGGGGAAATGCCTCATTCCCATGTGGGATCTCATACCTGAAGGATTTCCAGAGACGCTCGACAACTAGGCCATGCACACACCTAGAGGTCCTACAGGAGACTTTACTGGGGAGCAGCAGCAGGGCGGGAGAGCGGGTAGAAAAGGAGAAAAACAAAGAAAGGAAGGTCGTTTTATCAGCTTTGGGCTGGGCTATTGCTTATTTATGAGGAGTGGGTTACCTTTAACCTATCACAGGCCAGGTTGTCCTTTATGGGTTTGGTCCTGCAGAAATAGGTTTAACCTCTCCAGATTGCTGTGGCCTTGGGCTGGGGAAGGGAAACTACAGATAAGAACATGAGGTCTTTAAGAGCCAAGAAGCACCAGGAAAATGCAGCCTGTGATGGCAGCGTCACAGCATACTTTAACATGATCAATTCCCTAATACCCATGAGGGGCTCCTCGTGGGGAATTATATCCACGAGGGGCTCAGCAGGGGGCACTCTATTTCTGTCTTTAAGAAACACTTTATATGCTTACACAATTAGGCAAACTCTCTATACTCAGCAAAACATAACATCTCTAACTAAGCAACTATTGGGGAGGAGATAAATTCACCCCAGGGTCAGAAAAGAGGAACAGAAAAACAGGAACAGAGAAACAGGGAGGAGGTTGTTATAGCCCTTCGCCCAGAAAACCTGTATAGAGACCAAGTTTTCTGATCAAGGTGGGCTCCCCCTTTGCCCTTTGTTTGGCTCAAGATAGCTCCCTCTGTGCACTTTGTCATATAGAATTTTTTGTAGCTTGTTAGCAGATCTCTGTAATTTCTGCAGCTCTGTGGAATTTTTTGCAGATCTCTGTAATTTCTACCAGCTCTCTGTCCTAGGCTACCTCCACCCTGTGCTTCAGTTCCTCTTTTTATGGCCCAGGGATGAATCTTCTTCCGGACAGTTGCTTAAGATAACCATATGTTCTGTTAATTATAGAAATTGATTAATCAAATGTTCTTAAAAAAGGAACTTCATTCTGTAAACCTCCCCTCCCTTAGGTATTAGTAATTTCCCGTAAGTACCCTCCCAGTACCCTCCTATTCCAATAAGTACCCCAAATATCCAAGAGTAATCAAGAGATTAAAATAGCAGCAATAAAAAGGAAAAGCCTCCCAACCCTATATAATCCTGCTTCAAAGATGGGTCTGGACTCTCGTTTTCTGATCCACTCAGTCGGTGAAGTATGAGGGTCCAGGCTCGAGCTTGCAATAAACTCCTCATGTAATTGCATTGGACCTGACTCCTCCGTGGTCTTTGGGGACTTCGCGACTTGGACATAACACCTTTTCTTTATATTTTGAGTAAAGGTCAAAGAGGGAGACAACCTCTATTAGAAAACTTGGTTTCTACAGTGGGAAAGCTTTCAGCACACACTGTTACTGTCAAATACATTGAAAGGACTCACAACGGGGAGAAACCCTATGTATGTAAGCAGTGTGGGAAAGCTTTCAGGACACAGAGACATAAAATACATGAAAGAATTCATACTGGTGAAAGACCCTATGTATGTAAGAGAGATAGTGTGAAAACCTTGACAATGAAGCCTTGTGCCTCATTCCCAGATATTGATTTCTCAAACAGCCTGCTCCCTCTATTCCATTGTGTCCTGACCTGGCCTGGCCTCAGGCTGTTTTCTGACATCAGGGATTGATTCATTCCTAGCATATTGGCCCTCAAACCCTCTAAGCACATTTCAAGAAGAGTCCACTGAGTGTTTTGTTTTGTTTTTTTCGTACCGCGGATTTAACTCAGGAACTTGAGAGGCAGGCTCGGTGCCACTGAGCTACACCCTCGATCCTTTCACTGAAACTTTTAAGAAAACAGGAGCAGCACTGAAAAGTGTGGGGTAGAGCCCTTTAATGCACATATCCTTCAGATGAGGGGCGGTCAACATAGTAGAAGACAGCCTGGCCCAGAAGTGTCTACGCTGCAACCTTTCATCTAAAATCCGCTCTCGCAGGCAGGGGTTTCTTCTCCCTTTACTTTTGGCAGTGAGGGCGGGCAATAGAGCAGAAGCCAATCAGTGATGGAAGGACGAGCTGTATGGACTGTCCAATCAGGTGGGCCAAGGTAGGAGGGCTCTTCCGGTGTCATGGTGCGGAAGTGCTTTCCTGAAGACTGATCTGCTCGCGGGGTGATGCTCCCCGGCCTTCTGTGGCTTCTCCTTGCTGCGGTCTACACAGGAGTGACCCGGGGAGACCCAGAAGCCACGCAATGGTAACGTTGTGGAATGGGAGCCCTGAAATTGGGTGTAATTGGGGTAAGATCTGGTTATAGTGGTCAGAATCAGCTCTGGTTGCCAGAGCCTCCGTGCTAAGCTTCAGACTCTGAGGTCCTCTAGGACTGGCAAGGAGGCATCCTCGGTCCCTCTTGGCCCTTGCTGGGGCAAAGCTAGTTCCGGGTCCCCAGATCCTTGTCCCCACTAGGACACCGCCAGCCCACAATGCTGTCTTGGGAAACCCCCTGCTGCCCTCGCATCTCCACCAGTCTGGGGAGACCCCGACTCAGATGTGAGTTGAACCTGGGCGCAGCTGTGGTGAAGGAAGTCCTGGTCTCATTCCTGCCAGCAGCAGATCTGGAGGATCTGAAGTATATAAATGTCTGTGGTGCAGGGTCTCACAGCCACAACTTCTCAGAGTTCTGCTTTTTCATATTTATAGCGATCTCCTAAATTTCCGATATGTCCTCACATTTCCAAACTCACTGTAGGTATTAACCGATGTCTAGAGAATTCAAAGTATGGTGGTGTGCCTCAGTGGTGGAACACTTACCAAACACCCAGTGAACTCCTTCCTGGGTTGCATAAAGAGAAATGCAAAAGTAATTTGTAATCTTACTTATTTAGGTGACGCCCCTACTTTCAGTTAGACTGTTTAAGTGAGGACTGTCATAGAGTTTAGAATTCTGAGAAAAATCGGGGGATGTAAAAGTATTAGCAAGGCCAGAAGAAAGTGTACTGGCTGAGGACAATTTCCAGAAGTGTTTGCCTCTTAAACCCATGCTGAGAAACGCCTAATTGGAGCATTTAGAATTCTGAGAAAAATCGGGGGATGTAAAAGTATTAGCAAGGCCAGAAGAAAGTGTACTGGCTGAGGACAATTTCCAGAAGTGTTTGCCTCTTAAACCCATGCTGAGAAACGCCTTGAATTGGAGCATTTGCCTGGATATATATATATATATATCTATATCTATATATAGATATAGATATATATATATATGATATGTTTATGAGTGGAAAGGGTTAGACAGGGTCATCATCTCTCAGTGGTTATAGAGTTTAGCCTGATTGTAGACATTGTGTAAATATTGAAATGCTCTCTGAGGCAGACTTGAAAAGGAGTACTAGAGTAGAGTAGAAGCCACATATAGAAGTTGTGCAGGGATCTCAATCATAAGGCGTAAAGGGTTTTCTGCTTAGCTGGATCAAAGGAGGTGGAAGAGAATGGCATGATGAAGGGTGCCAATAGTAGCACCTATGCCATAGATCTTTGAAAGTCAGATTGTTCTTAGGGAAAACATGAAGGAAGAATTGTGTACTTGCTCGGTCAAAAGTCACAGCCTGAAGTTAATAATAGATAAATCTATCTTCTGTTACCACTGATCAGGTAACTTAATCATTTCTGAAACAAAATGGGAAATTAAGAGACTGGCCTTGGTGTAATTGTTTGCAGTTTTTTTTTGTTTGTTTGTTTGTTTTTTTGGTACTGAGGATTGAACTTGGGACCTTGTGCTTGCTAGGCAGGCAGTGGAACCACTGAGCTAAATCCCCAGCCCTGGTATAGGTTTTATTATTATTATTATTATTATTATTATTATTATTATTATTAATATTATTAATTATTATTGGTACCGGGGATTGAACTGGGTCCTTGCGCTTGCCAGGCAGGCGGCGGAACCACTGAGCTAAATCCCCAGCACCCTGGTATAGGTTTTAAAATAGTGTGGGCACCATCACTGAAGTCGAATGAGAGTTTCCCCAGTCTACAGAAGATTTCAAGTGTGCCTGATGTTTTTATTGTACAGGAACTGAGCTCCAGAAGTTTGCTCTGAGCTACATACCCCAAATTTTTTAATTTAAAAAAAAAATTCTTTTTAGATAAAGTCTTACTAAGTGGACCAGCATGGTGTGATCTTTTGATAGTGTTTGTACCTCATTGACTATTGGGATGATATGCATATGCCGCTATGCCTCTTTCAGATTGGTGTTCTTTATTCACTGTGATTTACGAAGAGTTCAGTACTTGAGTATAGTAAAAATCAGCAAGGCATGGTGATTTACTTTACTCTCAGACACTTGGGAGACTGAGACAGGAGTATTACAGCACCAAGCCCAGCCTGGACAATTGAGGAAGAACTTCTTTCCATACGAAATATAAATTATTTGATATATTTCCACTGGACAGTAACTCATTTAACATGCTTTAGTCCCTGTGATAAATCTCCAATACTGAAGAATTAAAGGAAAAATTATTCAGTGGAAATCTTACTTTGAGTTTTTTATTTTACTCTTTTTGCATATGTATAATACTTGCTCATGGTGGTGAACAGCAGTATTGATTCACTGTTAGCAACTGGACACCAAGGGTGAACAAGCAGTGTTTACAGTGCACTGTATTCAATAAAGTGCATGAGATGGTATTTTATTATGGATGGATTTTATATTGTGTTGTATATATTTCTTCAAATAGATCACTGAAGTGTGTTTGTTGCAGAAGGAATTGTGAAGTGACACGCAGAGAGGCAGCAGAATGGAAGTAAAATAACAAATGTACTCATCGATGAGGGTCGATTGCACATAAGCAGTGCCTGGATCGATGACCCACTGAGTTACAACTCCGCTTTTTATAGGCTTTTTACAACCTTGACTTCATTTGGGTGGTTACATTTCATTCTCATAGTTCACATCATGGTCACAAGATAGTTAACTTTAACCCAGACATAACAGTTCTTTGCAGTTGGGGAGTTTACCTAAAGATTCCTCTAGCTATCTATTCTACTGCACAGGAAGGGAGTGTTCAAGGTTAAGGATGAAGCCAGATGTCCCATTTCATGGTCAATGCCTCCAGTGTCTGTTAATTTTGAACTAAACAGAGTAGATTACTGTTAGAGACAGAGTCATTTTACATTTTCCTAACATTTTTTTAGGTTTTTAGATTATTTGCAAAAATTCTGTGTATCATGTTGAGCAGTTTTAAAGGATCCAAGGCTTAGCAGAAATGTTTGCTTGATCAGGCATATTTTGTACATTTTCAACACATTTTCTTTTCAGCTTCCTTTGGGTTGATCATGATATTTTTTCCTCTTTAACTCAACTAATGTGTCTACTTCAACTCTTCAAAAAGTCTCTGATGAACATGACACTCGTCAGATTGTTTCCTTTTGGGTTTTTTTGTTTTTTTTTTTTT